TTTTTTTTTTTTTTTTTTTTTTTTTTTTTTTTTGTAGATCTTTTCGTTCTTGATATTTCATTAAAAGCACGTTTCCATTTTGCACCTCTCCTAGGAGTACACTCAAAAGTGGATAATTTTAAGAGCCAGCTTCATAAGGCCTAATTCAGCATCTATTCACAGCTTAACGGCTGCAACTGCAGCAGCTCAAAATTTTGTTTCGGAGGTTTCTGTTTTGGAGGTACCATCTTCTGTCATCCTTATCGTTATCAAAATTGTAAATTTTTTACACTAAGGATCACTTCATTCCAGAGTACAACGATACAATGAGGAAGGGAAACAGTTAGTTTCCATAAAAATTCTCCGGGCCTTTTTTGAGGAAGGTGAATGTTACGGTCAAAACACGACTTTTGTGAACCATCAGCTTTCATTAAGAACGATATTTCTTCTGGTGACTAAAATTCGCTGTCATTTCCCGCTTTATTAATCCTTTGAACAAGCGATAGGTTGTCATAAGCAGTAGAGAGTACTCTTGGTTAGGCTAGTAACTTTCACAGGAAGGATTATCAAGCAGCAGTAGAAGGCAGAAAAAGACATCTACAGCAAACAAGGAGGAAGACTTATAGAAGTTCCTGTGAAGAAGTGATTTTAAAGACATCTCGACTAGGTCCTATAAAACATTACTTGTTACTTTAACGTATTATAACTTAACTCTGCCTTCTTTATAAATGTTTTAAATATACAAACAACAGTAATGCACGATTAAAAACGCAAGCTTTATGTACCGTTGGCGATGCTAGAGCTTAAAGTGCGTATACGGTGGCTAACGAGACAGTACGAGCATTGATTGGTGTTCCCTTAAACTGCTGTTTTTTTATTTCGTTGCCCGTATTTACGATGGCTGCTGTTCATTATATCCAAAAGCAGAGAGTGTGGATTACAACCTCTCTCCACGTTTATTCTAAAGAATTTTGATACGATACTGTTAGCAATTAGGCCCTACTGTCTATGGCGCCATATACCTCTGTATCCTTCGTCAATGGTCCTGACTCACCTCCTGTTTTCTCAACTGAGTAGTTCCTTTTGAACAAATCACTTCCATAATTTTGATTAAATATAGGGTGCGCGAAACTGGTGCACCGTTGGATGGCGTTATAAGCGCAAATAATAAGCAAGATGGAATGGAAGTACCGAAATGGAGCACAAGCTTATTACTTCGTAACACAACCTTTCTCGACACTTGTTGTAGCCCACTGTGCACTGTCCTCACCCCAAAGCTACTTTTGCCCAATGATTTAGTTCTACTTCCCCAGAATTAGTTTTTGGTTGGACTACAACTACTGGCTATTACCTCGCTGGAGGGTCCAGTTTAATCAAAGTTTCCTACTATGCAAGAGAGCTCTAAACCATGAAGACAGGACCTGGTTTTCTGAAAC